ACTGATAGAACTGCAGCCCTAATAACCATGGTGCTGCAGCATCGGGGTGAACGTGCGCTGACTAACCTCTGTGAGGTCCTGGACAGAAAGCAGGACTAGAGACGTAGGAAACTCAGAGCCCGGAGGGAGCTCCAGGGGCACTTGAAACCGAGCCGCCTCTGGTGAGCTTCCTTGAACAAGTTTTCCACAGTGATCGTTGCTTAAAAACACAGCCTGTGCCTGACCTTCAGAAACGCACAGGCAGCCTGTTTGCAGAAAATGTTCACTGACACGAAGGCGGCCTCATGTTTTAAATGCAGGGTAAAGGTCTAGTTTTCAACAATCATATGGAGCAAATTCTTTCTCTGGAATCTTGAAACCAGTAGTTATCACTGCCAAGTGATGAGTCTCAAGTGCACAGCTAGAAATTTGTCAATTTTGTGCCACTAAACAGATTTCACACACTCAAAGATTAGGGTTCTAATTTTGCTGACTTCAAAGACCTCACTCCATCACTGAAGGAAGACTTCAACTTTCAGAAATGTTTGCACTAGGGGAAAGATTTTGATTTGCTTTTCTTTCAAAACTTTACACAGATATTATAAAATATATAGCACATAAAACCTCATCAGGAACTCAATTGAACAGAGCCAAGGTCCAATTATTAGTGAAACTAATAATTGAAGGAGAAAACTGAGATAGTACAATTTCACAATGAAGAGAGTTAAAGCTAAAGGAGCCAATACTATAGGGGTTTATAAGAGGAAATGAAACTTCTATCTTCTATTTTAACTATCTTTTCAAGAAATAGTCATGGCCACTTAGAGTCACAGTAGTTTGGAGTTGGGGAAAAAAAAGGTCTTAGATAGAGGGAAAAAAAAAAATCTAACTCCTACCTTGACCCAGCTCATTCTCACCCCTATCCTGTGTCACACTGTTACCTTGGCCTAAGGTAAACTGCTAAACCTTCTCAGGCTCAGCTTAAGGATTTACTCAAGGAAACTCCAAAAAGGTAAAGATTGTTCAGCTTTGCTTAATTCACTTGGTGAACACATACTGCCTATCTCCTTTGTGAAAGGCATGTGGTTTACAGAGAATACACCTAACTATGTTGCATAAATTAATGCCAAATAAAGTCAGAATATAAGAGCCATTCCCAAGGCCTAGTGGGCAAAGCTACTGTCTACCTGCCTGTGAGGCCAGCATCTCATATGGCTACTGGTTCCTCTCATGGCTACTCTATTTCTGATCCAGTTCTGTGTTAGTGGCCTGGGAAAAGCAGTGGAAGATGGCCCAAGGGCTTGGGCCCCTGCCGCCCACATGGGAGACGTAGATGAAGCTCCTGGCTTTGGCCTGGCCCAGCCCTGGTCGTTGTAGCCATCTGGGGAGTGAATCAGCATATGGAAGATGGTCTCTCCCTCTCTTTCTGTAACTCTTTCAAATTAATCACTAAATAAATAAGTATATTTTTAAAAAAAAAAAAAGAAGTTACCACCAAATAAGAGGGCCCCTGACAATCTGTAGATTAGACATTAAGTCTTGACCAAAAAGAACAGAAATGTCTGAGGAAGCTCTTAAGCTTGGAACGTTACAACATTCACTCAGAAAAGACCATCCAGAAAGAGGCCGAGCATTGAGGAACCCAAAGAACCAAAGTGTGGTGTGTTTAGTGGGTACAGAACCCAGCTCCAATCAAAGCAAAACAGACTGAGATTAAGGCCAGTGAGTGCTGGGAACAGTCTCTGCATCAGGAGGCACTGAAAATCTTTACTTGTAAATCAGTGTTTGTATATTTCTTAGGTTCTTTTAGATTTCTTCCGTTGTTATAGAAGTTATCTGAACTGTACCAAGATGAACTCGAAGGAACCTATTCTTGGGTTGGAAAATTTGAGTATATCAGCCCACTACCAAGGGCAGTTTGAGGGCAAAAACAGTAAAGCAAGTGAAAGAATGTTCTAAAGGAAGGTAAAATTTAGGAGACAAAAGGTCTGTGGAATCCTGCATTCTTCCCCGTCTGAAAATTCTCTTTTCAATACAAAATCTTGGAGGTAGTGATTTAGTTTTATTAAGCAATACTCCTCTAAAATTTCCCATTGAACTGTCAGCATCTTGAAAGGAACTTATCATTTTCATCACTGTTCTGTACCCATGTTTGTGGATAGATTACATGAGGCAGAGCATGGACTTTTGATCTTAGGGCACCTTAAAAAGCTACCCAGTCCAACAACTTTACAAACAAGAGTACATTTGTCCACATAAGCCCTTCTTCATAAGTCATCATAAAATTTATTCAACAAATATTAATTAAACATGCACCATAATTAAAATGCTGTATTTTCAGGAACGTTTGAAAAAAATCAGTTCCTGATACAACAAAATGCTACCGTGTGTCAGGTTCTACCTTAGGCCCTGAAGATAATTAAGATGGCACATGAAACTCCATAAGGAACTCCAAAGAGGAGATAAAATGTACATGAAGGTTACATAATACTGCTTAAACCAGAAAATGTTAAGTATTTTTTGAAAGCAGAAATGAAAGCTATATAGAGTGAGAGGTCAACATGTAAAGCCAAGGCTTCCTAAGAACTTACAGAGGATAGGCACTGGCACAGTGGTTAAGACACTGCTTGGGCTTAACCTGACAGTTCTGGAATGAAGATGACTAGCTCTAGCTGAAGCGGTTAATGGTAATGGCTTTGTAGGTTTTGATGAAAATCAATATTCTATTTTCATATCTTCAGCATTATGTCAAGTAACATCAACTCTGGATTTTGAAAAGTGAGAAAACAATGAATTCTCTTTTAATGAAAACCATATACAAAACCGAGCTCTAAATAATTATTTTCACGTGTGAGCATATGATCCAAAGAAACAAACTTGTCAACTTGTAATAATAAAAGATATGTAAGGAATAATCCTGGACTTGTGCATGGATCTTATTTATATAATAGCAACTCTGTGATGAAATAATTTGTATTAATTATACTGTAAACTAAGAAAATAAAAATCAAGCTAAGATAAAGTAAACATTTTCCTTTTCCTGTAATAAATTGAAATTTATTCTTCAGTTTCTTTCAGATATATTACTTCAGGTTCTCCAAATATTATGGAAAATATTCCTCACTACAGCTGTTTCATTCAAAGTATATATAGTGGGGTGCTGGGGCTTGAGATGCCTGCATCCCACATCAGAGGGCCCAGGTTCAAGTCTCAGCTCTGCTTCTGATTCCAGATTCCTGCTAACGGTGCACCCTGAGATGCAGCAGGTGATGGCTCAAGTAGTTGGGTTCCTGCCATGCACATGGGAGACCCAGACTGAGTTCCTGGCTCCCAGCTTCAGCCTGAGCTGGCCCAGACCTCCACTCAGGGGAGTGAAGCAGTAGATAGGAGATCTCTCTGTGTCTGTCTCCCCAGTAAATAAAATCAGTTAGTAAAAAATAACAATTCCAAAGTAAACGTAGTAGAACGAGAATCAAAAGTTTCAAAAGTCACATTAAAGGAGCTTAGATCTATCTACCTTTCCCCCTTCTCTTACTTGATGCAGTGAACTTACTTATTAATTTCCTATAGCTGTTAGGAATTAATTGGCTTCATCTCTCATATTTACAGACTAGGAAAGTGACAAATATCAGTACATTTTATAGAATATATTCCTTAAAAATAATTTGATGACAGAATTTCCAGGTCCAGAAGCAGTCTCTTTTAATAGAATTTTGCCTGTATGGTAAAATTATACACTTTCATAAAGCTTGTTTGCAAATTTCAAAAAGCTCCTATATCCATCTATTCCATTTCAGCCATGGATTTCTTTTGTTCACTGCTGCTTTCCATCGGTGTATGTTTACAATGTTTTCCATTGTGTCTGCATGAGAAATGAATCAGGAGCCATTTGTATAGAGCATGATGTAGACAAGGGCATGCTATTAATATACTCTCATCTTAGTTATACTGAAGAAGCTAAGATGGGAATAGATCAAGCAAAAGTTTTGAAACCACACTAAATGCAAAGTGCTGAAGTGACTCCAAACACAGTAATGAATACTTGGCTGCTTTATCCCTGCAATTTTAGGAATCATGGAGGGTGAATATCTCGACCTTAGCATGATTGGAACTTATATTAAGAAAACTGAACTACCATTTTAATGTAAGGGCCCCTTGTCACATACTCTCTAGCGTTAGTTTTTTTTTAGAAAGCTTGCAGATATCACTGAAGTAACAGTTCTGGTTACATGACCGTAACTACTATATTCAAGCAGCATCTTTGTACACCTTTTTTCCTGCATATTAAAGGACACTAAGTTAAAGCAAAAACGGTGAAATAGTGAAGGCAATACAAGTAGCTCCACTTCTGCAAATTAAGCAAAAAGAAAGGAAGCAAACGAAGGGAAGGAAATCGAGTTATTTGCAGCAGTGGTCCCTTGCATGTTCTCGGAGCTTCCCCTTGAGCTCGAAGAGATAAGGATAAAAGAGAGAAGGCACAACGCAGAAGCCCAAAGTTACTCGTTTCACAACTTGGATTATTCATTCAACTCGGGTTATGTGTGGATTCAGACGGAACGTCTGGCGAAGGGAGTGGCATTTGCTTTCTCACTCTGGAGACCAAAGAACCAGGGAGTACCCGAAAACCCTGAGTTATCTTTTAGAGGCAGCTCGGAGCATCATCTCCACGCACACACCTGCAGGGCAGGGCAGTCTCCGCCTCTTCCTCTCCGGTCCCGAGGTGGATCAAGGTGCGGTGGTCCGCACACCGTTAGCCCAAGGGCCACCCGTGCACCCGAGGGCGCCACCCGGCCCCAGGCGTGGCAGAAGCGCACACCGCCGTCCAGGCTTAGCCTCCCCGGGCCGCGCAGCGGCGGCGGCAGCGTCGCACAGCTGGACACCAGCACCACTTGGATGCGCATTATAATAAACTCAGGGGAGCACGTCCACATTCGCGCGGTACGGCCCCCAGACGCTGGCTCGGAAACCTCCAGTCCGACCAGGCCGGCATCTCCTCGCGGCCAAGGGGCAGCAGTCCGTACCTGTCCTCCGAGACGCTGATGACGCCCTCCTCCTTGGGCACGATCACGGCCATATTCACCACCTCCTGGGACCCCTCCACCCGCTGCAGCAGGATCGGCTTGCGGGTCAGCGGCTTGGGCTGGATCTCCGCCGCCATCGGAGGAGGGGGCGCGCCGCGGACGCCGCCGCCAACCGCGCCGCGGGGCCGGGCTGAGGGGACCGCTCGGGCAAGGATACAGACAGAGACAGGGAGTCTCGCTGGCCGGATAGGGACGCCGGGGCCCGGCGATCATAGCCTGGCCGCCTCTCTTGGGAACGACTCCGCGCTCCCGGCCTCAGGCACCAAAACCGCCACAACCGGGGTTGCAACCCGGCGCCACCACTAGAGGAGGGGGCGGAGAGCTGGGGGGCGGGGCCGGGGGCGGGGCCTTCCACAGGGGGTGGCCGCTGGTGGGCGCGAGGGCGGCTCCACTTCCGGAAGGGCGGTGAAAGAGGCGGGGAAACCTGAAAGGAGGCGGGGCTCCGGGGGACCCAATGCGCGTGCGCCAAACCACGAACCCACCAGCCCATTTCCGCCCCGCCCTTCGGCGGCTCATGGTGCGCTGCAGCACCACCAGGACGCATGCGCCCTACGTTCCCTACGGTCTCCTCCTGCCTTATCTTCCTCGTCCTGAGTTTATACCCCTCCTTTTTTAATCTCCCGTGAACGCGCGTGTACACACCCCCGGGAACGCGCTTTCCAGGGTTCCGCCTTCTCCAAAGCCCCTAAAGGGGCGGAGAGGGGGCGGGGAAAAACGCGCCTCAGCAAGACCGGAAAGAGCCGGCAGGAGGGAAAGCAGCCAAACTACTTGAGACAGGACTGGGCATGCGTGCGTATTACCTGGCGCAGAGTCCTGAACAATGAAGCGAGGCAAGAGGGCAGTTTACTGCTCCCAACATGCACCGGGCCCAGGCCGCTGGGTTGCAGCCTGTGGCCTCCTGGGAGTTGTAGTTCCGCGTAGCCTCTTCTCCTTGTCCTGGAATGACCTATCGCCCACTTGACAGCGCTCTGGGTCTGGGGAACTCGGAGGCCTCTGGGGCCCAAGGCCAAGAGAGCCCGGAGCGGCCTCTAAGACGGGGAATTGCGAGGCAGCCTCCTGCTGAGCAGGGCGTCACTCCCTGGGACTGGCTATTACCAAGTATATTGGCTTGGCTTATGCGTGGTGGGAGGGCAGAGAATCTCTTCATGAAGTCATCTTTGAGGGAGCTTAGCGGTATTCTGTATTGTCAAACTCCTCATTCTCTTACATACTAAACCACAGTTACTTTAACCCTATGTTAAGGATAAACACGACCCACTCCCCAAGACCTGAACCCAGGCCCCGCCTGCTGGGGTGTTTCCTTTCTGCAGTAATACGGCGTTTTACGCTTGCCTGAGATGGTGGACAGTTACTGTGGTTGTTGAATGGATATTAGGTGCACGCACAAGGCCTGCCCTGTGGGGCCATTCAGTATGTGATAATCCCCACTGGGCTCTTCAGGAGTTAAATTAACTGAGGAGTGGTCGTGGTCTGTGTGATGTCATCAGGCTGGCAGAGCTCTGGAAGCCAGAAAATAATATGCCAAGAGCTGGGCGAAGAGTGGCACAGGCCTTATGGGATGAATTTCTAAGGGAGGATTGTGGCAACCAAGGCTATATGGTGCAAAGGCCCTGTCTCAAAGCACACAAGGCAACTCTTCACCATTGCCCCTTTTTGCAGAAATTTTCAAAAAAGACCTCCAAAAGGAGATTCTGGTAGTTTACAGCTATAGGAGATAAAGCAAGGTATTCCATCTCTAAAGCGGGGTTATGAGAACACCTGGGTGGGTAGTTGTGAGGCTTACAAGTGACTTGAGTGCCTTCATGTGCATTAAGCCCTCTCTGCACACTGGTGGCAACACAGTTATGAGCCAGACCCCTTCCCCCTGGAGAGCGTCTTTTCACCACGGAGGAGGTGTGAACAAGGTTGCGACTACCCCTGCTCTTATGAGAAAAACGTCCTGGGCACAGAATCAACAACCCTGACTCTCACCTTCAGTTCTAAAGAACAGAATCTCCATCCTGTAATTCATCCAAGAAATATTTAGTAACTGCTCAATAGTAGGTGATGGGAATGAAGATTTGAACACAGACCTCTCAATTCTCAAAGATCTCACAGATCACTAGAGAAAGGAAAGGGAGCAGGCCATGACAGGACAATGATGATGGCAAGAGCTGTGATTGGGGCATAAGTATGTAACCTGACTTGCAATAGGGAAGATTGTGCAGAAAAAGCTGCCCTGAGCAGGTTTAGTCTATATGGATTCTCAAACAGTGTTCAAAAGCAAGTAAGTTACTTGGGATCAGAGTGTGTTGGAGGAATGGGGGAGTAAAAGCCAGGTGGCAGCCCTCGCATGGTTGTTTGGGAATGAAAGAAATTCAGTATAGCTACAGAAACCTAGTGAGGCTAACAGCAGAGCTAAAAAAAAGATGAAGACATACAGGACCTGAGTATGGACCGTGGCCTGATGTGCCTTGTCCTTGTTAGGAAGGAATGCATTCAGGGCACCTGCCATGCCATCCTCAGGTGGGATGGGCACTCAAGGAAACCATCAGTAACACTACAATGTGGCAGCTGACATCACTGAGCTGTGAAGTGCAATGGGAACTAGAAACCCTCACCTGTATCTGGTTGGGAAATCAGGGAGGGTTTCTACAGCAGGAACAGGAGTAGAAAATCCAGAGGGAACACCATGTGCAAGGGGTGAGGAAGTACAGAATGCCTTGTGTCTCTTGGGACCCTCTGCTAGCTGGAGGGCAAAGTTTGAGGAGAGCTAAAGTCCATGAAATTGGACTGGGAACATGGACAAGTGATGTATTGAGGAAGGTGCAGAGAGCCTTGTTTGGGAGCTTGAGTTTTAACATTTATGTGAAGGAGAAGTGCTGTATTCTCAGAGCACAAGGCTACTGTGCCCAGCACAAAGTCAGCCCCTGGATGATACAAGAGACATCTACTGAGGGCCATTGCTGGGAGGGGAATGAGGTGACAATTAGTAATTGTAGGACATTCATGGTGTTTCCCTGACAGTAGCACTCTACCCTCATTCCTGTATTTTCTGAGACCCTTGGTCACACGTAACAAAAGCACCATTAGCTGCAAAAAGAAAGGAGGAGGTTTCTATTGGATTATTCCATGGAAAGTCGGAGAGGTGAAGTGCCTTTCCTGTAGTCACATAGATACAACAGGTAGCAGAGGTCAGATACCTCTAAGTCTGTCTGTCTACCTAACATCCAGTTCATTTATTCAAATATTCCAACCCAGTGAGTCTTTGACTTCGTCGGAGACTTCTAATCCACTGACCGTAACACTTTTCACTCTCCAATGTACTCATAAGATTACATGCTATTATATGTAATAAGCTAAAAGCAGTGCCTAGCACCCAGTAACTACCTCATAAGGTTTGCCATTATATTATTAGTTTCTATTATCCTCTCCATGTTCTCTTTCCTGCTTTTACCACTTAGTTCCCATATTCCATTATCCTAACAATATCTCACAAAAACCCTTACATCTTTACCCGTCTCTCATTCTTGGCAGGCTAAACCCCAATCCTAATTCAACTTCTCACCTACTGCACACCTGCTTTGAACTCTAAAGGAGAAAATTGCACAGGTCATGCTCATTGGTCACACCCTAGATTCAGAACTGCATGCCTCTAGTAAGCCTCATCTCTCTTCAGACTTTAATGACAAAGTGGAAACAACCAGGTAGAAACTAGCTCAACTTCATGTCATCAGATCTGTCAGTCTGCCTGCAGCCATGCCCATACGCTCTGCTTTTCTTCTGTAACGATGCAGAGTCTGTGCTTCTATTAGAGCCAAGATAAATGGACCTGTCGTTGCCCATTCAGGACTCCTGCAGTCATTTACTGTCTGTGTTGCACTGTTTTTCCCTTCTCTATTGGATCTTTCCATTAGCATACATTGTGCATTACTATTTCAGATTGAAAAAAATAAATAGAAAACTCTCCTGGCTGCAAATACCTCCCCATTTCTCTGTTCTTCTTCTCAGGAGACTTCCTAAATAAGTTATGTGGACTCATGATTCCCACGTCCTCGTTTTCCATTCTCTCTGAACTAATCTTAAGAAACTTCCTAAATCTACACTTCATTGGAACTGCTCTTGACAAGGTCACACACCCTCTGTCCTGCCAAGTGCAAGAGACGCTTCTTTACCTTCATATTAATCTGTTTCTTAGCAGCATTTAGCAGAGTTGACCCCCACTCTTGCCTTGAAACTCTTTTGGTTTCCACAAAAGCATACTTTGTTGGTGTAGTAAGAATAACAGTGAGGTGATAGGAAGGTGGTAGTTACACATAGTAATTCTTAAACTTTTTATTTTTATAGAATTATTTATTTATTTGAACTGCAAAGTTTCAGAGGGAGAGAGAGAGAAAGCGAGAGAGACAGACAAAGAGAAAACATGCACGTTTCCATCCCCTGATTCACACCCCCAAAAGCTACAACAGCCAGGTCTGGGCCAGGCTGAAGCCAGTAGCCAGGAACTTTATCCAGGTCTCTCTCATGGGTGCCAGGGGCCCAGGTCCTTGGGGGCATCCTCTGCTGCCTTCCCTGGCACGTTATCAGGGAGCTGAATCAGAAGCAGAGCAGCTGGGTCTTGAACCAGCCCTCTGATATAGGATGCAGGTGTCACAGGCAGTGGCTTAACCCACTGCAACACAATGTGGGCCCCAAATCTTAAACTTTTTAGGTCACAGGCATTATGTTTCCCCTAGAGGAGAAGGCATATATGTATGAACAGAATGAATTTTACATACAATTTCATAATGTAGATGTCTATCAGAATATATAAAAAACTTTTACAACTCAATAATGAGTCAAATAACAGAATTTTTAAAACATGGGTGAAGGATCTGAATATGAATAGACATTTCCCCAAAGAAGACATACAAATGGCTGAAAATTAGCCACCAAGGAAATGCTGATATAAACTGCAATGTGAGAATACTTCACAACTGCTAGGAAGACTAGGATAAAAAAAAAATTAAAAACAAAAGTTGGCAAGGATGGAGAGAAACTGGAACTCTTCATACAGTTCTGATGGGAATGTAAAATGGTGCAACCTCTTTGGAAAGCAGTATGGCCATTTCTTCAAAAGGTTAAGCATAATGCTATCATATAACCCAACAATTCCATTCATAAATATATACCCAAGAGAAATGAAAACTTAGGTGCATACAAAAACTTGAACTTGGATGTCCATAGCAGCATTATTCATAATAGTCAAGAAATGGAAATAACCCAAATGTCCATCCCCTGATTATTGGAAAAATGTGGTATATTCATACAGTGGGATATTATTCAGCGATAAAAAAATGAGGGGCCAGTACCGTGGCGTAACAGATA